TATTCACCAAGAGAGGCTTGACAGAGTGGACAGACAAGAAATTGCCCAGCAGTATGTTCAGGGTAATGAAAGGAGGAGAGATGTTTTTGGGTCCTTCAGTGAGTCTGCTTCTAGACCGTAAATTTGTTTGGCTGCACTATAGGGAATTCCTAATAGTACTACTTCTGTAATTTAAAATGTGAATTTCATTTACAGTATAAATACTTATTTTTATTTATGTAAATATGTTGTCGTTTACACTTCTGAGTATATACACAAATGTTTAAATAAAAAATATTTAGCATAAGACATGAAGTTTTTGTGGGTGATTGGCATTCCAGACAAATAACAGTTTCATCATATATGGCTAGTGTTGATCAGGTAGGCCTTTGTTTAACAATGTTCATTGTTGTTTATCCATGATTTCAAATAAGAATTCTCCAATGGCTTTTTAGTGCAAATCATTGGCCCATAGGCTATTACGGAAGTAACTACTTGAGCGCTAGTTAAAGCCCAAATTACACAAAAATAACTTATTGAGTTGAAATCATTTGCTGACAGCTTGGTCCCCCCAGTTCAAAAATCCCATCTGCGCCCCTGGAAGTCGGTTACTCTTTTTCATACGCAAGACAAAGTTGAAGCAGCAATCAAGAAGATGGGGATGTGGGCCAGGAGTATGGAGGAGGCAAACTATGACTCATTTCCAAATCTTTCAGATTTTTAAGACAGCTCAGACATGCACCTTTCAAGTCCTGTGCAAGATGATATCAGACAGCACCTGCACTCAGCTAGGGATTTATTTCCCAACCCCTGACACACGCGAACTGGATAAGAAATCCGTTTGCCACCCTGGATGACTACACCCTGACAAACCTCACCTCCAGAGAGCAAGACAGCCTGGCCAAACTGTGACAGTGCTTTAAAAATGGACTTTTCTGAGAGATGTCTGCCTGCTTTTTGGCTGAAAGTTGCCACAGAATACCCCGAGCTGTCTGACAAAGCCCTGAAGTGGCTTGTGCCTTTTCCAACCACTTACCTCTGTGAATCAGGATTTTCATCCCTGGTCATGTTGAAGACAAAATATCGGAACAGACTTAATATTGAACCAAATCTCAGATTGATGCTGTCATCACTGGAACCTGACATCGAGAAATTAACGTCTGCAAAGCAACATCATCCATCTCATTAGGTGAGCTTTTTTTTTTTTTTTTTTTTTAAATATAGGCCTATAGTTTTTGTCAATTTACTCGGGTGAATTAATATTAACGAAATAAATGTGATAATAGCTTTCCCCTTGAACTAAGCCTACTAGGCTTATAGGCCCACTTGGCCTACTTTGAACTTATTCTCTTTCTCTGTCTCTCTGTCTCTCTCTCTCTCTCTCTCCCCCTCTCCCTCTCTCTCTCGCTCTCAGGCAGACACTGCACAGTGATGCAAAAACCGGAATATCAAACTGTGTTTTCGGTGTGATCACATGCCAGTTGGTTCAAAAGTGAATGTTCTTATTACTGTAATGTTATAGATTTAATAATACTACATTGTTAAGGAAATAAGTTGTTTAAATGAACCTGATTATGTGCTTGAGTAAATAAATAAATTAAATATGTGGCAGCCGTTGTGTGCAGTAAACTTTCTTTTAACATGCCTGTTGTATCGGAAAGTCATATTTCCGCCTGTGCCCTATTTTCACCCTTTTACGAGTATGCGTCACTTAATATTCATTTCAATACTGATGCGATGACCAGTTATAGTTTTAGTGCTAGTAGGCCTATTAAGAGGTGCGGATTAATTTAGGTAGGACTGTGTGTAGACATTTTATTATGTGTATCATGAGGTGGTCCGCGAAAATTCTTGATTACAAATAGTGGTCCACACGCACAAAAAGTTTGAAAACCCCTGGCCTAGACTATCAGGGGATTTCCCATGGTGCACTGAGCTCCTCTCTTCCTCTCTCTTTCTGCACTCATTCATGTTCCATTAATGCATGTTACTAACTTCACTTCTTCCCCGGAGTTCTTGTGCTTTCTCGTCTCGCAGGTTCTCATCGATCCTGGTGGAGCCTCCTGCCATGGTCCTGCTTGACTGCCATTGCTAATATCACTGATATTAGTGTTATTAGGGGCCGAGCACTAACAAGTGCAAGGACCCTTTTGTTCTTCTAGGAATTGTCATTATTTTTCTGCCAGTACGACCGCATATTTGGCCCCCGCAACATGCTCAAAAAGTCAAAAAATGTGCACAAAATTCAAACGTAGCAAAACTACCGATATGACATTGTCCCCGTGCACGGGCGCTGCCAAACGTCTAAGCCACGCCCCCCAGAATCAGCTCCCAAGACATGTCAGGCCCACATGTACGAAAATTGCTATGCATGTGCATCATGATAAAAGAAGCAGAAAAGCCTCTTGGACCCATGCCCCAAAACCCACAGGAAGTCTACAATTTCGATTTTAATTTTCATCATTTTGTGGTCATTTTGACTTTTTGGGCTTGTATTTGAACGAACTCCTCCTAGGGAATTTATCGGATCTTCTTCAAAATTGGTCAGTACAGTCATAAAATGGTACTGAATGAACGCTGTTCAATTTGTGACTCTACGTTGAAGGGTGTGTCCGTGGCGTGCCGTCAAAGTTGGCCATTTTTAAGTCCGTGGTCATTTTCGGTGAATTTTCGCCTTGCATTTGAACGAACTCGTCCTAGGGAATTTATCGGATCTGCTTCAAAATTGGTCAGTACAGTCACAAAATGGTACTGAATGAACGCTGTTCATTTTTTCACTGTGTGAAAAAAACGTTGAAGGGCGTGTCCGTGGCGTGCCGTCAAAGTTGGCCATTTTGAACGAATGTCAAACTGTGATGTCATTTTTGGCATTTCAGGGCTTCTATTTTAACTAACTCCTCCTACAGGTTTCATTGGATCTACTTCAAAATTGGTCAGTGCAGTCAGTTTTTTTCATGGAACATTGTGCCCGTGGCGTGGTGTCCCGTGGCATCCAATTTCAAACCTTCGCCATAAAGGGGGAATCGTCATAACTTCTGAGTACATGATCCGATCTCAATGAAACTTCACATGTTTGATAAGAGTCCCGCCCTGAACATGTCTATGTGATAATATTCAGTAAAAGTGAGAGCGCCACCTAATGGTGAAAGGAAATCATTTTTTTATACTTTCATGTTCTACTCCTAGCAGGATGATCAGATCCAGCTCAAGTTTACTTTGCAAAACACATTGTTGATGATATGTGATGAATGTGGTGAGTGGGTGTGTCCGTGGCGGGAACTTTTGATGTACCGCCACAAAACACGAATTTGCTATAACTTGAGTGTACATTGTCCAATCGGCTCCACACTTCACTTGTCTGATAAGAGTCCCGCCCTGAACACATAGTGATAGCGCCACCTAGTGGCAACAGGAAGTAAGTGCTGCGTGGCGATTTTGAGCTGATTTACGTGAGATTTTCATGTCGTGGTCCGCACGTGTTACGACGGCACGTGACGCAGCCGCAGCATGCCCCGAGTTGCGTGGAGTGCGAGGTCCCGTCCAACGCTGCTTGCAGCTTTAATTATTATTATAAGTATTATTATTGCTACGGTTACTGTTGTTGCTGTTGTCACTGCTCATTGTCCCCCATCGTTGCTGTTGTCATGTTCATCATCATCAGTCACTACTATTAGTGTAGTTGTTGCTACTGTTGTTGCTGTGCACCTGTCTGTCTGTCTGTCTGTCTCTGTCTCTCTCTGTGTGTCTCTCTCTCTCTCTCTCTCACCTCGACTGGTCGAGGCAGACGACCACCCACCTAGAGCCGAAGGATCTGTCCTAGGTTTCTGCCTTTTAACAGGCAGTTTTTCCTTGCCCTTGTCGCCAAGTGCTTGCTAATGGTGGTACTGTTGGGTCTCTGTAATTAATGTTATAAAGAGTTCGGTCTAGTCCTGCTCTATTTGAAAAGTGTCCTGAGATAACTTCTGTTATGAATTGGCGCTATACAAATAAAATGTAATTTAATTTAATTGAATTAATTACTTACTCCGGCTTGAGGGACCACTTTTAACGCAGAGCTCTTGGATATTAATTTGGCTGGGTGAGTAACCCTTCTGATAATAATCTAGTATGATGGAGTGCAAAAGCATGTATGGTGAGTGAAAACATCTCAGCTCAAAGAGTGTGATGCCAATTACCATCCTTTGATGGTGGATTGAGTAGAGCAGACATCGGATAGACATTCACACACCGCAACACATTGTTGAACATCCACCAAGGAAAAGAAGGAAATGAGAAAAACTGACAAAATGTCACTTAGAGAGTAAATGGGGTTTCATTGTATGGTCTGCAGGGGCTGTGTCCTAGCAACTACCTAACAGTGGCAGCCTCATTTTCATCCATGGGACTTTCACACGCCATCCACACGGCATACATGTCAAACCAGTGATGCTGAGTATGCAGCTTGCTCAGTCTTTTCAAATCCTGAATCACAGCTGTAGTCAAGCCCCTCATCTCCTTCTACCCACCTACAGTAGTTTACGCATCTTTATTCAAGAAATTCAACTTGTCTATTTAAGTCTCCTGCCTTATTATTATGATGGCTTATTCACTTATGGATTTATGTGATTTCACGATGTGCCATGATTCACAAATACTTAGACAAACATTAAGCAGAAGCCAAATAATAGTGACTGTTTATTTCCAGCTTTAAAGAGGAGCCTGTCTATCTGACTGCCTCCTTGGTGATGAGCATTATCAAAATTCAAAAAAGCAAAAACAAAGCAAACCAACAAACCACACTGGCTCTGTGTGATGGCATACTATGACACAATAGCTTTAATGAGGACCTAATTACTGAACATCAGCAAGTTAAGAGAGATCTCTGAGCTGAAGAAACAAGATTTATAAAAGGGTGCATCACTATGCAGTTCAATGCTGAACTCTCGTCTTCTTAGCAGCATGAATTAAGCCTCATTCAAGCTCAGAATTAACTACCACTCCTCAAATGTACTGTTGCCTATGAAAAAAAGTGTTTTACTTGCCTCAGTGTGGCTTGTGGAAGCAGAGCAGAGCAGAGCAGGTCGGTGTGCAGCCGCCGGGCACCGGGTCCGTATCTGTATGTGCGTGTGTGTGTGCGTGTGTAAATGTGTGTCACATGTCAGCCTGCAGACTGACTGTGTGGTGACATCGAGCGGAGCCTGGCTTGGCCTGGTCACACCCATACACTGTCACTGCCAGCTGCGCACTGCACCCTGCACACACTCCACTCTGACAGGCTGACATCACACAGAGACAGGAATCAGCTGGGAATTTATGTTAAAAAAAAAAAAGTATTATTAAACAAAATATGAATGCATTGATAAACTAAATAAATACATCACTAAAAGATCAAATAATAAAAAATGTAAAACATTCCTATCATCACTTGGGTGTGTAAGAAAAAACCCTGCTGACTCATAGAGTCATCTGATTACTGCTGGCTGTGGTTCAGCTATCTGCTGCACATAATGTTCTTAATCTTGACACCAGCAAAAATACCTGTGCATTGATTAAACAATTATCAGAATTTTACTGAAAAGCTGCAGCCCTTAAAATTTAAGGGCTGCAGCTAAAGTAAAATTATTTAAGGCTTAAATGATCATACAGTACAATGAGCGGGGATGGATTAACGCTTCTATCATTGAGTAACTATAAGTGCCATATTTTATGGATATTTGATATGATATCTAATGCACAACAATAACAGCAGAGAACCACTGATGAACTGTACAATGAACACAAACAGTTAACACAATAACTGCAGGAAGTTTGTGTAAAACCAGAGATTTGGATGAATTTTTATATTTTTAAGAACTTATTTTTTAACAATCCGCAGCAAACTGCTGTGGATGTTTTACCAGTCTGTGGTTGCCAGCGTCCTCTTCTACACTGTGTGCTGGGGGGGCAGCATATCCAAGAAGGACACCAATAATAATAATAATAATCTACTCACATACATACCTGGACACTCTTCTTCTTTTTTGTGCAATAACTTAATCCACCGCTTAAATGCAATAATTTAATTGAACTGCTAATTTCTGCTAATGTCATTTATCCACTGTATAATAACACAATGCCAGATACAGTCCTATATATTTATCTATTTATCCTCTATACAGTTCTCTACATTTATTTTATTTTACTTTTACTCTTATCTCTACTTTCTATATTTAGCTAAGAGTTTATTGTTTACTGTTTATTGTTAACATTCTATATTTAACTAAGAGTTTATTGTTTATCTTATTTGTATTTTTTATACCTCTTTTATTTTCTATACAAGTGTTTTGTAAGCTGCTGGAAATCCAATTTCCTTGAGGGAGTCATCCCAAAGGGATCACTAAAGTGAAGTCTAAGTCTAAGTCTATTAGCTCTTTGGTTGTTTTAGCTGTCTACTTTTAGATCTTAAATAATATAAACTTTAAAAATAACAAGTTCAGTTAGTTTTCTTCACAGAAATTAAGACATGCTGACATATAGGCCAACTGTGTATATTTTTAAAGTTTACTTACACCCCTTAAGATCAAGAGGGCCCCGGGACCCCTTGCAAAGCTTTGGCAACCCCTAGTGGTGGGAACCACTGGGTTAAGGCACATTGTCAGACCTCAACCAGAAACACCAAAAACCTAATAATGCCACTGTTGAATGAATGTATAAGGTTCTTTTTCCGTCAAATACCTATAATAAACCCTGATATGACTTCATTAAGAACTAGCAGTAGCCTGCTCTCTGTGCATTGTTTGTGTTGTAGTAAATATTTAGCTTGTGGCAATTTGATGAAAATAGTTGCCTGCTTCTCCCTACACTTTGTTTTATGAGGTAATATGTTCATAATTTCTCCAGGGAATGTCCCAGTGACACATCTGTGTAGCAAACGTGTTTACACTAGTCTGTATCAAAGGAGTATCATCTGAAACATGAAAAACGTGGTTACGCATAAGTATGGAATCTGAAATCCTTGCATAATCTGGTTATGATCATTACTGATCCCAGCAGTCGTGCCTGTGAGTCAGTTAAAACCAGCACAGACAGAGGAGACAAACACTCAAAAGAAGCTAATAACACATACCAATCCACCACAAATCAAAGGCATTTCTCTCTGTGACCAGTAAATGAACACAAAGGGCACGAAACACAGTGACACACCAGCATGTTCCACTGAGGTCATCAACATCATTTGGAGAGGATGACAAACAACGAGAGAGCAGACAGTATGGCGCTTTGTTTTAGACTTTTACTCTTCATGTCATCTCCTTGTAATTGGATGAGGAGGTGACCTTTTTCCAGCAGCAGACAAGGAGGATGGGTGAGAAGGTGTTAGTGTAAACGCTGGTTTAATAATCTTCCAAATCGACTTTTTGATAAAAACAAGACAAAAGCTATTGTTTAGATAAGCTATACATTTGTAACTCAAAAAATATAACATGTTTTATTATATTTTATATTTTTAAGTATCAGCATTTTTATTGAGAAAAAAAAAAGACTATTGCTGTTGCTTCCTGATATCAAAACAATTCACTATTAGAGCTGCAGTAGGTAAAAATAACTTGTTGTCATGTTCTACTGTCAGGATATAGTGAAAGTTTCAGCAAATATGACAAAATGTTATTTTTAGAAAAATTACCTACTGCAGCTTTAACGTTCACTTACTACAGAAATGGACACATCACCACAAAATTTACAGAATATATATAATATAAAAGACCCATGCTGCTTTCAATGAAGTTGGATTTCTGCTGTCACAGAGTGTCAGGATGAGGGACTAAACAATGAAAAATGCAATCAGTCAGAAAAAACTGACCAATAAACAGACTGAGTCAGCTGCTCTGGAAAACATGCAACAAGCATTCCTGGCCAAATGGAAGTATTTAATGTGTCACTTTTAGAAATGAAAGGAAGACTCAGAGAAACCTTCCCAACAGGACTAATACTAAAGTGTAAAGGGGCCTATACAGTGCAACAAGTATAAGTGACATCAGCCCATTGAACCAGTGAACTCCAAGATACAAGTTCTGCCTTTGCAGTAGTTGGTCTGCCAGATTACCTACTGTATCCCACTGGGTCATTTTAAAGCCCCCCTCCAGTCAGAAATCTGAGTTTCTTCTTGTCCCTACAGTGTGCTGTTTGAATGCTGTTTGTGCAGAGTGACACTAGAAGGATGTTTTCACATTCATCTGCTGAAAGTGGAAAGTTTCTCTGTGCTCACTGAACATCTGATTTTAATGTAGATGTTCACAGATACCTAACCCAGCACAGTACTATACTTGAATTGTTTACTTTTGCCAGTAGAAATTTTGAGCCAGGCACCACCCAGGAATAGGGGGAAAACACTTTGATTGCATCAGGAGGAAAATTTGCCAGATTTATGTCTCATTAAATCTGTACTATTTTGCATATCAGCAGAAAACATTTACGCCAAATAACAAATAAAGTCAAAAGTTCTGACTTTCAAACACTAAATAGCTAGTAATGGTGAAATGTTTTTGTCTGTCTGTATATATATATATATATATATATATATATATACACACACACACACACACATTTTTAACATTCTTTTCCTCATAAAATTAAAATAAAAAAAGTATCAGATCATTACTGGCCATTTCTTCAAGGAAACTGTAAGTAAAACTTAGTAGCAGCTGCTACTATGATTGTGGGTATTTTGGGTTTTGAATATAAGTGAAAAGTCATTTTGAGAAAATTGGTCTAGCCTCAACACAGCAAGACACAAATAAACCAGAAACCAGCACATAATATAACGTATAAAAATGGTATCATGGGGGAATTTTGAGATGCAGTGAACAAGGCTCAAACTCTGAGATTCCAGTAGGTTAAATACAAGCACTGTCAGAGTCTTTCCAGACTGGTGGCCATCCTGTTAACACATGCCAGAGGGGATCTTTCAAAATAATGGTCTATTTAATACGATAGGTAGACGAGAGGACACAGAACACTCTTTTCAACAGTGATTCACAGAACTATCTCAAAGCTTTTGACACCACTATGTGTCTATTCGTATGTGACTGATGTGTTTATGTTACTCTCATGAGTTGTATTTGTGAGTTGTAAAGAATCTGAGAATCCCAGTGAAAATTGGTGCAGTCTATCTTCTGTTTGCAGCACACTCAACCCCAGTGTATTTTTTTATGCTGCCACTCAGGGGTGCCAAAGTCAAAGTTTTTCACATTTGACACATACAGTAGTGGCTTCAAAACACAGCTGCTGGTTTCTACTGAACTGAAAACAAAACAAAAATATAAAATAAATCTTTCTTTTCAACAAATATAACTTTGTCAACCATGCAGGAGCCATTATTAGAGAATGGAGGTATGGTTTTGTTCGCGAGGGCCGCTTAGTCCACTTTCTTCGGCTTGCGACTCTTCCACATGACAACTGCAGTGAAGGCCCCTGTGGAGAAGATGAGACTGGTATTAAATCGGACATAGACACGACACACACCCTCATCCCTCATTTAATTTTATATAGAGAGAATTTAGAGGGGTTGTCTGCAAAGTCCATATGGAAATACCTGAGTGTGGGCTTTGTTTTAGAATGACAGTCTACTTACCTATACAGAGGAGCAGTACTACTGCTGCGATGCCGGGCAGAATGACGGAGTACTCCCGAGGGAGAAAGTACTTGTGCAGTACATGATCACCGTCCACAAAAGGCTGGAAAAGGACAGAATACCGTATCATACATTTAAGTGTTCTTAATGGTTATATATGAGATTTAAAACATTAATATAGCAGCTATTCTCTATGTAAAGATATAGTGGAGTCATGGTGTCACTCTCCCTCTGCCTGTGTTGCTATCACAGCCTCTCTGTGGTTTGTTTCCATAGCCAGTCTGCTCCGTGTGCAGCTGAGTAGAGCCACTGAAACTGCTGTTTATCATCTTTAATTTAATCAATATATTGGAACAGTGGAAAGACTAACACAGACAGAGTTTGGGTGAGTTTTATTTTGTTTCTGTCCACGCTGAATAAAGTTACGATGTTACGATGACATGAAACGTAAAGTTACTGTTTTTTGTCTCCGATATTATCGGCCGATATTCACAAAAAAAATGTAATATCGGGAATTATCAGTATCGGGTTTTTATAACTGATGTTTGTTCTGTAGGCTTCAGCACTTCCGAGCCTGCATGAATGCAGCATGGGACATTTACTGGCGCTCGCTAGATGACGTATAACAACAACAACTACACGCTAGACTGGTTGGTTGCTAACCGTGGCTAACAAGCAAACAATTTAAAAACGGAGGATGAAGAAGAGGAGCTTTAAACCCTACAAACGTGGCTACACGAGCAGATACCGGACTCCAACGTCACCATTCCCGGCTTCCAGACGGTTCCAGCCGACAGGGACACCACCGCGACCGGCATGAAGAAAGGAGGGGGAGTGCCTGTGTTGCACGGAATGGGACCTGTTGCGTCGCGACACCCAAGAGACGCAGTGTTGTGTACAGTCAGTACAGATTTCCCCTCTCTGATAAACAGAGCTGTACTTGAAACTTTTTTCCATGTCCCGAAAATAAATTGGAGGCAGCGACTCATACCGGAGGGACCAGATGGACAGTTGTCCACTGAGTAAGTACACTAGACAAGTTGTGTTTTACATCGGTGCGATTATTTCTGATATATTGAGCAGATTACGTTTGTTTTAGTTCACATCGCCGGCTGTAAAACTTGATCATTGATCTGCATGAATGACCTAACCCCTGACTGTTTTCCCAAGATAGCGCCCGCCTGTATACGCGAACGCTGCTGTTGTTCTAAACTATCTTTTTAATAAACTGTCTGTACACTTACAAAGTTCTCAATGCTGCGGTTTATACATAGGGACCCTCATTATGCTACCGTGTAAGTGTGGTGCTATTTTGAGTCTTGTTAGTGGTATAAAAAGCGATTTCTTTTCACGTTACTCTGTGCCCCGTTGACTAGCGTTATAAGCTAATTAGCAGTCTGGGCTAAAACCGGTCACAGTCGATTAGCATGAAAACATATCCCAGAGAACGGACCAACTCGGTACACATGTATTATTAACCCCAGGTTCATTTTGCACCGGAACTGTCCTTTAAGCTCGGCATGATTCATGTCAGCAAAACACAACGTTAATATTGAGAGTGGTTTTAGTTGGGATGAGTTGCTTGTTCTGTTTACAGGCAGCAAATCTTTATCATACCATTAACGTCATGTTACTAACATTACAGACACTTGTTGCTGAGTCAACCTAATGTACAGCTCAATAACAGGGTTAACTTATGTTAAGTTGTTATAACATAATTGTATTTGCTTGTGTAATAACAGTAACAGTTTTGGTGAGTGGTAACAGCCTTACTGCCTCTGAAAATATTAATTTAAAAGTTATAATGCAGCCTAACTTCTGGTCACAACGTGTGTGTGTAGGTGTGTCTGTGTCTGTGTGTGTGTGTGTGTGTGTGTGTGTGTGTGTGTGTGTGTGTGTGAGTGAGTGAGTGAGTGAGTGAGTGAGAGAGAGAGAGAGAGAGAGAGAGAGAGAGAGAGACACACACACACACACACACACTGTATATAACTAATATAATGTACATAATGTATACATATTGTGTATTGTCTGAATATTTCGACTTATTGTATTTTGATGCTTTGCTTTGGCAATATTGTTTTTAAAAAAAACTTTCATGCCAATAAAGCCGATTTTGAATCTGAATTTGAATTGAGAGAGTGAGAGAGAGGGAGAGAGAGACACTGAACATTTGCTCTCACTTTGCGGAAAAAATATCAGGATATATATCGTATATCGATATTCAGCTTAAATATATCGGGATATGACTTTTGGTCCATATCACCCAGCCTTAGTCTCTAATTTGGATATCAGCGAGACAGAGAGAAGAACCTACCAGGATGATGACCCAGACTGAGTAGTATGTAAACAGCAGGAGGCTGAAGACAACAAGACTCATGCCAACTGCTTGATCCACTCCTGTAGCCTGAAAACATAGAGACACCTACTGAGCAGAAGGCACTTGGGGACAGTTATATGTTAATGACTTCAGATAAACGAATAAGGGATGTAAGTGCATGTGCAACAAGCACCATATATGGATTTTTACAGATAACAGTTAAAATCATTAGACTGTTAGTTTTAGTATGCGTAAAGCTCCAAAAATGCTGGATCCTACTTTTCGCATAATGAAACTCAAAAGCATTTATTAGCTTCCATTTTACTTTTGTTTCCTGTTAAATGCCATTATTGTTCACAAACTCACACATGAGTCATACAACTGTTTTCACAGGCTGAGTAGAACCTCTTCTGGTTAGTAAACTGGAATCCCTCTTGAAATGGACAAACCTAGCTTAATAAAAATATTATTTTATGTTAAATTGGAAACAGAGTCATTATATTTGATGGAGAAGCGTAGTGGAATCCTATTTTTTCAGTGTTCTAGGTAGTTTTTAATTAAGGTTTCATATAATGTATCTTAAAATTGCAATTAGAACAAAGTTTAAGACACTTTGCTTGATAATATAATGGATTATACAGATACCTTTAATGCATATGTATACATGTAATGTCCTAGAGATGGAAAATGCACTGATTCAGCAGAATAACCCATAGGCACTTTAGATAAAACAGCTGGCACCAATTAATCACTGTATGACTTATATAAACTGTCAGTGTATTATAGGACACTGCTTAGTGTGTGAATTCAGTCTATCTACCAAAATAACTGCCTTAAGGAAAACTCTAATATATAATAATCACTCTTTGTCTATACATTATTTCTAAATCAGTTCAAAGCTGTTCACCCTCCACTGAAAGGACTGAGAGGACATTAACTGCAGTGGAAGCACGGCTCTCATACGTCAAGGAATGCTTGGTATGGCGAGCCACACCAAACTCCATTCAAATATCTGGAAATTAACAGTTAATTGGCTTAATTTCAAATACACGCACGTCGCACAACAAATACATTTAGTTTATTAGTTATCAATGCTCTCTGGTAAAATCGGCGAAGGAAATGTATGTAAGACTTCAAAAAACGTCAATACAAGTTTAAATGAATGAATAGTTGCACAGAAACATTTGGGTATAACCTGTTTTAAAGTTGAGAGAATTGTAAAGGTCTTCACTTGTTATTTACAGCTAGCATTCAATTGGCTACACACTAAAACATATACAAAAAGCTGATTATAACCGACTCTACGCCAGCTAGGAAGCTAACACTGATGTCAACATGTTTCTAAGCAGCGTTGAGATTAGCTTCAGTCACTATGAGTTAGCCGGTGTAGCTTCATTACTGGGTTGAACTGTCCAAAACTTCCAGTCTGCTATTTTAGAGTTATAGCTTAGAAGCTATATCTGAGTTACAGAGCAGCCTTAAGTGTAAGTTTATTCGGCTTTTCTCTCTTACCATTTCTGTTTCTGACAGGTGCTGTGTGCTGACGTTTCCTGATGCTCTTCTTCCTGTAGCTAAAACCGGCGGACAAGATGCATCTGAAGGGCTCTGCTGCCCCCTGCTGGTCATAGAACGCAACTACAACTCCATGCACAGTGTAGCCTGTTATACCCAGACTGTGCATCATTACTTAATTAACACTACTTACTTAATCAGGCCTATTAGGTTATTAGGTTTCATATGCAATTATCATAATATTTGTAATTAAACTGTAAACTAAAATGGACATTTTTCCTATTTTGATATAGCTCTCAATATGGCTATAGGCTATGCTTTCCATAATATATTACAATGTCACTTACTATATGCAGGCAACCTGTTGGGCTGAGAGTGACATATGCATATATATTTGGCAATTAAGTTTAATATGATAGTACATATATTTTCATATTAGTATTTTTCAGACAATGCGAGTAAAAATAAAGCAAGATGTACTGTATATGCATACACCTTTGTACTAGTCATTTTAAGTGATACTAACTTACAGAAACATTACTGGTTAGTTACTTTTTACTAGGTATTTTGTTTTCACAGTAGAAATAAAAATGACAAAGTTAAGTCAATGTCACTTAAAATAACTAAAGCTACTTGAACTTGAAATTTTGTTAGTTTTACTTAAAATTTTTGTGATTTTAGTTAAAGAAACTTATCTGGTTTTACAGTGTACATGAGAAATAATCCACAGCAAACACAGAATGATGATGATTTCAAGCTTTACCATTTAATTTGGTATGCATGTTTATGTAAATCATAATTAATTACTCAACACTGTTCACATACAGCTATTGACAGAACAGATAATCTCAACTCACTGACGTGACTTTAATATGTAATTCTCAGCAATTTAATACAAGAGAAAATGGTTGTATTTCCATTTAAAATGTTACTGAAGAAAAAAAAGATTCACAAAGGACAACAAAAGTGTGCCAACATGTAGATTGAATGGTGTTTATTGGACATATTAATGGTAAGAGAAGTGTTTTATATGCATTAATAATAATTATATTAATTATTGACAGGTATAGGTCCCATTTGCTTGGCCTAATTTGAATTTAATAATTGACTAAAAGTTTTTATATTCTCCTCACCAAAACCTTCTTTCTATGCAAATAAAATCAGCACTACAGCTACAAATTCACTATAATCCATATACCTAATTATGCAATGATTCTGTTTCATTTCAGATTATCAGGAATGAAAATACCCTTTCACCACATGAAAAAAATAGCTGTATAAATGTAATTAATAAGGCAACAGGTTCGAGCATGTCAATTACAAAGGACAGAGTATTTCTTGAACAAATCACAGTAGTAGACAATTCACCAACAACAATGGTCCCCTTTCCTGCATGTATTCTCTAATAATCACACCCTTCACTGTAAATAATATTCTTTCAGTCCCATCTCACCATACAATATTAACTTTTACATACAAATATGTACAAATCTCTAGACCAGCCAGCTAGTCTGAAAATCAAAAGAAAAAAACAGATTGGAGGGTTCCATGTGTAACCACGGTTCTCTGAGTGGAACCCCACATATAATTCCAAATTCCAAGGGACTGAGCCCCTGTACGTACACTGTAGAGAACTACATTTATAAAGCATGGAGTGATAAATGTGGACTGCCATTGGTAGAAACAGAGAGAATAGTACATTTGTGTAAAGGTACAGAAATAATAGAGACATTTTACTATATACATTCTTGTGCCTTAGTGAGGATGGCAGTGAAAAGTTATCCCCAGTATACCCCGTGTTCACCAGTATTTGTGTACAGTTGATTTATGCAGTATTTACCTAGTATGGAGTGCTGCAGGAATGAGTGCTAAAAGCTGGAACTCGCCTCAAAATCTGTTTTTTTGTTTTTTTATTTAGAAGTCTGAAATAAGGTCTGAGGTTCATTCAAGTTTGAGAGGCGTTTGTTCTATGACTGAATGTTGAAGCCATGTGTCTAAATAAGACTACAGAGGCTGTCAGTGACAGTTGTCACCTTCCGTAATTTTATGCTTCAAAAATCATAAAGGTAGTTTTCATTTGTTAAGATTATCTTGCTGAACAAAACCTGCCAGTATTATTAACCTTTGCTCACCACATATTTTATTTGATGCAACAATCTAAAATAAAATGAAAAAATCCCATTGGCTTATTACATCATCCCTGCAGCACTCAATTAACAAGGGCTAGATGGACAACAGCAGAAATAAAAAGGAAGCTTTTCACGTATCTGATGCAACCTTTCACATCAAACATGCATGGCCAGCATGCATATAGTGGAACATTCACACATACAGTTCAACAACCGTACACTGCAGATACACAAACACACATGAATCCTGTGGGGTGAGGATCTATTGTATATTGTCAGTCCTGGTACAACAGTGGCTTTGTGCTGCTGCAGCTGTGGGGCTTAGCTCACTACAGCCAACAGCAGGCCTACAGTATCACTGTCACAGTAGCTCTATACACAAAGAACAGAGTATACACATGCTACTCAGCTATGATATGGAAAAAAAGTTCCTTTTTAATCTACTATGAGTTATTTGATATATTGCAGCTCCCTCACAAAACAAAAACTGCCTAAAACTACAAAGTGCAACAAGTTCTGGCTGGAGTCTTTTTGGTGAATACTGTGCAGTCAGTGTGACGCCATAATGTAGGCAGGGCAGCAGCAAATAGGAGGCCAGTATTCTTCTTGTCAGGTCCATGAATCCGAGCCTCTGATAGCTGGGTACATGCAGTTGGCTGACTGACTCAAATAAATATCTTGAAACTATCTGGTCAACTGATCATCAATCACTGATCCATCTGCCACTCTAGATCCTCCAAAATGACACAAGCTGTGGTTGTGTCATTCAATCAATGTTTAAATATCATACATTAAAGCTGCACTCATAATTGTTATATATATATATATATAAAATATGAGATTTAAAACACGGATGAAGATGATGAAGCAAATAACCATTCTCTATGTAAAGATATAGTGGAGTCGTAGTGTCACTCTCCCTCTGCCTGTGTTGCTATCACAGCCTCTCTGTGGTTTGTTTCTATAGCCGGTGTGCTCAGTGTGCAGCTGAGTAGAGCCACTGAAACTGCTGTTTTTGAATCATCTTTAATTTAATCAATATATTTCCACCAAACCAGAGTTGGTGATTGTTGGAACAGTTCCATATTGCGTTCAAACACTGAGAATAACAATCTGAGCTAGTCAGTGGCAAAAACCACTACTTTTAGTGGACGTACTTTAATGGCTGCATTTGTCCCCAAGGATTAGCTAATGTTACATGGCAGCCATCGCAGCCTGTTTCGTAGCTCTCATCTACATCGGTGAATTAAGAGTTTATTTTAACAAAGGCAGACTTGGTGATTGTTGGAAAGACTAACAAAGGTGGTTTAAATCTTTTAATATTAACAATGGATCAAAAAACTATGTGTGATGTTAAATTAGTCACCTGTTGTGGAAAAACCGACAGCAAATCCTCACCAACTCTGCTTTTCCCTTCAGCTCTACATAGCTTTTTAGCCTCTTTTAGCTCACTGTTTTGGTTTTCCAGCCCACAGACCCTACTCTTATCAATCCCATTTCCAGCAGGCAGCTGAAATCTCTGATAAACCCACTGTACACTAATTTTCAACAGCAAACAGCAGATAAAAAAAAAAGAAAAAGTTAGCGATTAGCTGGTGAACATTTAGCAGCTAAATAGACCAAACCAGAGCTATAGGAGAGTAAATATTGGACTTAAATTAATCAGGTCAGACAAATATGACTCCAAATTAATGCTTATGTTGCTCTGTGTCTGCTGGATGTGTAAATTGGCAACTGTTTGCTTATAACTTTATAATTTAATAATAGGTCAATCCTGTGTTTACAGCTTATTTCGTAGCTAAAATCAATTAAGTAACTTTTCTATTCAGCCTGTTGCAATGTAATGGTCAATGTATGTTTTTAACCCTCTCATAAAATACTTGCGTTCCACTTTTGTATGCTTAATGTGTACCCTGGGTTGGGACAAAGATCTAAAAAAAAAAAAAAAAAAAGTGGGCAAGAAAGTACATCACCATAAAATCTAGATAAGCTTACAAGAGCATTCAAAGTCAAAAAGTGAATAAGTACTGAGCTAAGTGCAGAGGATGGACGGTTACATATGGCCAGCCATATGAAAGCAGACTGACAGAATTTGTCTGATAACAACAATACTGAAATTGAAACATGGAAAAGAATAAAGAACAAAAACATAACATGTCATATGTCATTTTTACGGAGACGATTAGGGCCATGTTTTTCCTTTTTGACTTTTTCACATACGGCCCTAACTGTCTCCATTACATTTTGGACAACCGTGCTATCTCCATATCATTTAGTGGTTTCTAACAATTTTCCTCAAAGACTACACATGTGCAAAATAGTATAATAAAGTACCTATATACGGTGATCAAATAGCATCAAAATATAATAAAAGCATAAAAGCTTCAGTTCCAGATCCAAGCTGATCTGTAGAGGACTCTCATCAACTTGTAAATAAACGTCTTAACACGTTTCCAGTTCTCCGTCATGTGTTCAAGTGAAACACTGTCTTCCATTATCTGACTTTACCACCAGTGTGTAATGTCCCGTACTTTGTTTAGCACATCAGGTACTACTTCCTGGTGGTAAACTCAGAAATGTTCAGTTTTACAAGCTGACGAGGGCCCTCCTGAATGCACCGTTATTTCAGTGTTGCACTACAATTCTCAAAATGCAGTGGTTTTCAAGTAATTTGTGCACTTTGCACTGGTCAAAGTCTCACTGGGTGTGTTTCACAATGGGCCCTTCTTCAGACAATTACTGAACCAAAGAGTGTGTGAAGGAAATGATTATTGTATGACTGTGAATTCTCAAATAGAATCTGGAGCTTAAATTACAGCCCAGAAAATACTACTACAATGCAGATAGTACATGTGTTATCAGTATAACAAGAGTCATGTCTCCTCCTGAAATACTCATCTCTTTGTCTAAGGAGTGAAAAAAATGTGTACAAAAATGAGTAATTAATGCTCTCAGACTAAAAATGTATGCACATGAAACAACTGAATGTTAACAAATGTCTATCCATGCCCTGACATATTTGCATGGCATTAGACACCTACTCTAGCTGGCTAGTATTGTGAAACATATGCTTACATAGATGAGAGCAGCCCATCTGGGTACTTTCCGTGTGGTATGCCCCCGCTGCCTTTTGGGTGAAAGCAGACTCTATAGTTTGACTGTCGATAAATGCAAAGTCTTTTCCACTTTAATAGAAACATAATAATACTGCATAGTTTTTTTTAACTATAGGAACCCAGTGGCCAGTTAGACGAACAATCATGTCATGTAATTGCTGATCAACAGTTGACATAGTTAAAAAATTAAAGAAACAGGCTTGGGTGAGTGTCTGCCTCCATAGAAGTGGATGGACTGGACATAACTACAACTACTTTATTTAATCTCCAAGTAATATATTTCTAATATCTGTCTGCTGTTTTGGTTGTCTGTCCAATGGGATCTTATTGTAACAAACTGCATCGCCGTGGCAAAGTGGAACAGCTGTCTCTGTATAGATAGATTTGTGCTTATTTTTTAAGTTTTTAGTCCCATGTCCTGCTACTTTATGCTGTTTACAAGGTTCATTATTAGATGGTAGGTCAGCTCAATTTATGTGAATTATTAAGGTTGAAATACCCTCTACTCCCACTGGCCTACTGAATGTAAGAGCAAACCCAATTTAAAAAGTGGGTGTTATATGGTAGTGCCATATTCTTTCACAGTAAAAACTTTAGTTACACCATCACTAAGACTCTTTTCCACACAGTATCAATTTGAAAGAATGAATTCAGTATTTTAAGGCACCTCAACACCAAAATTACAACAGCTAGCCTGATGCTAACACTCAGGCTGCTCACACTCTAACTGACCCCAGGAAGTATAACTTTGTTAACTTGACATTGATTCCAGAGTTTCTTATTTGTGCACATAAAATAGGTGAGAACATAAATTACTAATTCCTGTACATGAGTGTAAAACAATTTGTACTCACTGTTCAAGTCATTCTGATTGATTCTGCTTTGCCAGTGTTAAATGTGCAGTAGACTTTTATAAAAATAACTTTTAGTCATATTTTCTGAAACTTTCACTATATCCTGACAGTAGTACATGAGAAAGGTAATCTATGAAAAATCTGGTTCCTCTGGCTCCTCCTAGTGCTCCTAATGGGATTTGCAAGAATCCACCAGGCCTGAACCAAAACAACCAATCACAGAGGCTGAAAGAACTCGATTTTTTCAGAGATTATCTGCCTCATGTACTACTGCAGGTTTAAACTGCTGTAATGAAACTTCCTGCAGATGTTCCACAATAAAAGCTTTCCAGGAAAGGGGAGGAACTATTTTCCCTGGACTGCTGGAAGTCTTTTAATGTAAAACAGACATGTGGACATGTTTAATCTGCAACAGGAAGCAACAGGAACTGTGAATTAACAAGGCAAACAGGAGCTGTACTTAGAACACAAGTAAAATAGAAATAAAGGCCTGCTTCTTTCTTCATTTTAGATTTTAAAAAAAGGTCCTCTCCACTTACACACCTCCCACCACCTGATTAAATATACTAGTAAGGCTTGACATCTACATCATAGCTGTCTTATTTCAAGCTGTATGCACTGAAGATGTGCATGAACATACTTGCACATACACAGTCACAGACAAGCAGTCGATTAGGCTGGAGACGTCTTGATGTGTCTCTTAGTGACTCTCAATGACCACCGGCTCAAAAATACCAGGTGTTCCTCTGGGAAGACAGAAACACACAGTGATTTAGATGACAGTAAACGTATGCAGTAAATGAGTGCACCTGTTGTAAAGGCTATTTTGTACCTGTTGGCCAGCTGTGTCCCGCTAAGGGCGGTGGTCCCGTCTTTGCTGACAAACAGTCTCAAGTTGCTGTCTGAGGGGAAAAAAAGGAATCCAGAAGAGAAATTACTCCTGTGACACACAAATGTGCTAAAACAAACTAAAGCTGAAACTCTGCCCTACCTTCATTATTGCTGCTGTCGGAGAAGTTCTGACTCTGGACAATCTTCTCCACAATGTCGTCTGCATCAATGCGGGTGTCGTCCACGCAGCTGGGCTGCCTCTCCACAGTGTCCTTCTTCCTCCTGACAAACAGCAACACAGAGAAGATTCATATCTGAAACAAAGCGACGCTGTGCAGGAAGCAGAGGAACATAAAGGCTCAGCATCATATTGTCAACAAATCCCAAACAAGTACTGTGTGTGTATTAAAGCTTAATATATCTTTTTACTCTTTGCCATAGAGCTCCATTGTTGTCCAAATCTGTTACAAACCATTTACAGTATATAATTAGTGGACAGAGCTTCCATTAAAGCTACATTCTTTCTAATGGCCGGCAGGGGGCAGCCCCATGGACAGCAAAAAAGAAGCCTGATGGTATGGAGTCTTATGGAGAAATGATCCCCCCTTTATTGATTTAGTTTTGCTACGAGACATTTCTTGAAACGACCCACCCTTTTCAACGCCATTTTAGATCACACACGCAGCCAGTCAGTATATAAAACAGTGTTTTCTGTAAAAAAAAAGAAGCCTATTAAGTCTGTATGATTATTAAAAATGATAGAAATACATAATACAGACAGAATTGTATAAAAATATCAGGAAAACTCATCTCTGATCAATATTAACAGGAAATAATCTGCTCAAAATTCATCCAAATCTCTGGTTTTACACAAACTTCCTGCAGTTATTGTGTTCACTGTTTGGGTTCATTGTACAGTTCATGAGTGGTTCTCTACTGTTATCTTTATAATTGAATATAATATGAAATATCCATAAATACCAACCTTACAGCGTTCAAATCATTGACAAAAACTCACCTTTTTAAAATTGCTTTTAATGTTTAGCTTAGTCAGATGTGTTTTTAGTGTTTTTACTATTTGATGTTGTTTTCGCTGCTTTTATGATTTTATGTAAAGTGTCTTTGAGTATTCAGAAATGCGCTTACAAATAAAATGCATTATTATTATTATTATTATTAAAATACGTCAGTCAGTTTGCTCAATGACAGAAAAGGGCTCTCTTAGGGAAAAAGGTTGGAACCAGTAATATAAAGACTACCTACCAGTCATTAAATCAAATAATTGAAAACACAATGTTCAGGACATTTAGCTACAGAAAAAACATTTTATTGTGTATAATGCGCATGTTGCATTTTGAAAAAAAAATCTAAAATGTGTATATGCACACACAGAACATATTGTACACTCTAAGTACTGCAAGTAATACAATACTACAGGTACTTTATGCTGGGTCAGGCCAGAGGACTTTGTCACAGGCAACTTTCTCCCTTGCCAGGCAGCAGGGGAACCTCCAGTGTGCTCCACACCTACTGTATGTCACTGCCTTTACCAGTAGTTGTTCTGCTACCATGCAGAGAAAATATCTTCTATTGGGTTGAGGAAGATGGTAAATGGTAAATGGACCTGTACTTGTATAGTGACTTTCTAGTCTTCTGACCACTCAAAGTGCTTTTACACTACGTGCCACATTCACCCTTTCACACACATTCACTCAGTGATGGCAAAGTCCATCAAACAGAAACTAACTCATTCAGACACATTCACACACTGATGCATGGCATCAGGAGAAATTTGGGGTTCAGTATCTTGCTCAAGGACACTGCGACATGTGGCACCAGGAGCCGGGGATCGAACCAACAACCTTCGGATTACGGGACGACCCGCTCTGCCTCTCAACCTCAGTTGCCAGGAAGCGGACAGAGGATCTATGAATCACTGGTTGATTGACATATCTGGATTCTATTCTAGTCATTAAGAGCAGCTCAACTCGCAGTACGTCACCTCCGACGGCTGCAAAAAACCAACATGGCAACGGCCATAATGCCAAAGTCAAGTATTCAAAGTGGTACTCCACAAACCAATGGGTGATGTCATGATGGTCTACACTTGTGAGGGTATGAAGCTGTTCCATTCCTGTTTTTGTGCTGGTTCACATTCAGTCTGAGGTCCTTGCACGTGAGCACCAGAGCCCGTCACACACACTCCTCCTCTCAGAGCATCGTGAATTCCCTGGAGAATTTCTGGCATGTACATTTACACATGCCTGAGATCCAGCCCCAGAATTTTATCAGCGCGGCGGAGTCTAGACATGTCTCACAGGAGTGTTTTGTCAGAAGTGCAGGTGTGTGTGTGTGTGTGTGTGTGTGTGTGTGTTCAATTCAATTCAATTCAATTCAATTTTATTTGTATAGCACCAATTCATAACAGAAGTTATCTCAGGACACTTTTCAAATAGAGTAGGTCTAGACCGAACTCTTTAACATTAATTACAGAGACCCAACAGTACCACCATGAGCAAGCACTTGGCGACAAGGGCAAGGAAAAACTGCCTGTGTGTGTGTGTGTGTGTGTGTGTGTGTGTGTGTGTGTGTGTGTGTGTGTGTGTGTGTGTGTGTGTCTACCTGGAGGATCTGTTAGACATAAGCGCTGATGCGGAGGGTGGAGGAGGTCTCTCAGGTTTGGTGGGAGTTGCTTGTCGGTGCGGCTGGGTGGGGCTGGAGGGAGGCAGCTGGGGGGGTGGGCGAGACCACAGGAGACACTGCTGCTGGAGGAGGCATTCCTTTGGTGGCTGAGGTCAGTCAGGCTGGAGCAGCGAGAGTGAGCTGTGCTGTAGCCTGCAGGAGAGGAGGAAACGATAGGAAAGGAAAAGAAAAGGTGAAAGGAAAGGTTTACCTTCACACACAACCACCCCTAGTTGAACAAATTAGCATGTTTTAGATGCTACAAGCATGTTGTGCTGGACAGTTGCTTGTGAAAAACTTTTATTGGAGTATTTACGCATTTAGCATAAGGTTGTAGAGCTCTCGGACCTGAGATCTTGCTGTGCTGGCTAGCATAGCTGGAGCTACGGAAATGGCCGGTGTGAAAGACCTCATCTGGGCTGGACACACTCTCTCCCTCCTCAGGCAGCCCTGTAGAACACACACAGTTTGTCATTTATTAAAATAAATGTGTTTGTGTTTGTGGGTGTTTTCTGATGATTTAAAGCTCCTCTCCAGTCACAAATCAGAGTTTCTCCCTGTCCCTACAGTGTGCTGTTTGAATGCTGTTTGTGCAGAGTGTGACAGTAGAAGGATATTTTCACATTCATCTGCTGATAGTGGAAAGTTTCTGTGCTCATTGAACATCTGATTTTAAGGGGCGGGGCCTAACTGCAGGATTTGTGACATCACAAATAATTTGGAAGTCAGTCCTGGTCCAGTATCAACTTGTACAGTGTGATGTAGAAACTTAAAGCCACCAGTGCACATCCACTGAGAATGGACTTTACAGTGAAGGAGGAGACATCTTGTGTTCAGCAGGAAAACTTTAGAAATGAACAACATTTGCATATTCAGAGATTCTGGAAGGTTTAATGAGGAGTGGATAACTTTTAAGGGTTTTCATGTGGTAATTAAGCTTTTTTGTGTAAAAACATATCAGACACATATTATTGTTCCAATCAGACTATTTGTATGTATGTCTTAATACATCTCTGGAGGGGATCTTTAACTTTGGGTGGCAACTGGCGAATGTGGTGCTCAGTTGGTTTGAAAACTCATATTAATGGGGGCTTTTAATTACAGACAGTAGAAATGTCAGGAAATGAGGGGAAAGAGAGATGGGGAACTACAGTAACTGACAGTTATGGTCTTTTCATGGGATTTGTTGACCATCAGAAAGACATATAATAACAACACCCTTACCCTTTAATCATTTCTGGATGTCCTTCAGATATGTGTATGTTAAATGTACCTACCTATAATATCATGAAAATGCTTATATTAAAAGGATAATCCCATTTTATTACAATTTGGGTCATATTTTCTTATCAGCAATAATATCAATAGTGATAGATAGATCAATCATTGCAGAAATCTGGGAATACAGAAAAAAGTGATACTTGACAAGAAACACAAGCAGTCATATGATCAGAAAGGCTGTAAAGTCCCAGGTTTATTTTAAGATCATTACCATATTTGTGCACATAGTTGTTTGTGCAATAATCAAAAGATATGTGAGACTTAAAAATATAACAGCTAACAGCTATTCTCTTTGTAAAGATATAGTGGAGTCATGGTGTCACTCTCCCTCTGCCTGTGTTGCTATCACAGCCTCTCTGTGGTTTGTTTCCATAGCCGGTCTGCTCCGTGTGCAGCTGAGTAGAGCCACTGAAACTGCTGTTTTTATCAACTACATCAGTGAATAAAGGATTTATTTCAACCAAAGCATAGCTGCTGATTGTTGGAACAGTGGAAAGACTAACATAGACGGTTTTGGTGAGTTTTATTTTGTTTCTGTTCACTTTGCATGAAGTTGAATGAACAATGCTATGATATTCTGGTTAAACAAAGGGACTATATCTGTAAAGATCCTTTCTATAATGTTGTCAGACACTGAGAATAATAATCTGTTTTCAGTGGTGAAGACAACAACTTTGACAGATGTATCTGTCCCTTAAGGATTAACTAATGTCACATGGCAGCCATAGCAGCTTGTTTCACAGCTATGTTCTCATCTAACTTGGTGAATTAAGGCTTTATTTCAACCACTAGAGATGGTGATTGTTGGAAAGACTCCCAAAGACAGCTTTGGTGAGTTTTATTTTGTTTCTGTTCAGTCTGAAGTGTGTTTTATGATCATCTCTCAGGTAAAATGACTGGTTTTGTCAATGGAGTCTGGTCTGCCTGGTTTGCTCTGAGAAGCTGGTGCTTTAGTGCAAATCCGGTGGCAAAATAATTTTGTAGATATAAGATTTAACAACAGTTCAAATTCAATCACTTTCAGTTTGACCTCCAAATGATGTGGTTTAGATGATCTAAATAAACTGTCTAGTGGTCACTCTAACCATGTCACTGTGTTCCCAGAGCTCATAACAGATAGATAGCAACAATAACGCTGTGCAGTTACCTGAGCTACGTACTGACGACTGCCTGGGTTTAAAGACTCGAGAACCCTCCACGATGCCTCCTACTGTCTGCACTGTGGCATCGGTGCTCTCACCCTTACAGTCCAGCTGCAGGGTGGGGTCCTCGCCCGCGATGGAGATTGATTTGGCCGTACTGGGAGGCCTGACGGTGAAGACACCAAGCACAAAACATAATGAGTATTACAAAACCACAGTCACATTCACAAGGAGGTAAGGAGAGGGAGAGGCCTGAGGCACATATACTGCATGAGGTGAAAGGGACACGTGCATGCAGGCGTTTTAAAAACAACAGGAAGTTTAGTTGCTGATTAGGCACCTACATGGTCACAGTTGCAGCCGCAGCAGTGGCTGTAACCATAGACATACAGTGCTGCTTGAAAGTTTCCATCAGTGCTGCCTAGTCTCTCCCCTAACATCTCTCATTTCATTGATTAAATTAGCCAACAATTTTGTGCCACCTGATTGTTTTAAGCAATTCAGCTCAGGGTTCATTAACTTTCTGTTTCCACTACACAATTGATTTCCTCAAAAAAGCATATGGAATTGAGAAACATACAGCTGTTATTTGATATACGAAATAATGGTAAAACAATAGAAAACTCAGGAGGTTCACATACTGTCATAGTAGACATATATACCACATAAGCTGCTTTGACTCGTTGCTGCGATAGGTCAATGCATCTGACATACTGGACCAGGCAAGACTGGCCTGTAAACATGAACAAGTAAACAGAGGACTGTGGGGGACTTTGGATAAAAAGCATTATATACTCTTTATATAAAAGGGTTTATGGTCTCTGTAAAAAGTTGCTTTTATAAAAAAGTTTACCTCCATGTCAAACTTCAGTACAGTGCTGTCACTTTAATCAAAGGTCATGCTATAGTGTATTACTGATGTATGCAAGACATCATTCATAATCTGGTATGATATTTAGGAGCAGTTGTCTGTGTCTTTACATACTTTAAGCTAAACTTATAAATTATGGACACCACTTACAATACTTTATTAACCTTGTTATAAGTAGCCATGCATGATTCTTAACATTTATAAAGAGTTTTATAAAGCCTTAAATAAATATTATATATTATATTAATGCATTATAATATCTTATGAGTGTGCTTATAATGAATTCTAGACATAACCTTCATAGAAAGTGTTACCAAAAAGTTTTTTCTCAAGTTAATTAATCTCAATATTTAGTTAGGCTATAATTAGGGAAGGGATTTGATGAGATTTGAATGATATCAATACCATTATTGATTCTGCTTATCATTCCAATTCTTTCAATTTAGCAATTTCAGCATCAGCACCATGTTTTTATTATCCGAGTCTGAGCTCAGTGTAGAAACAGAGTAGAGTTATAGTAGTTTGAGTGTCTTTGTGAAAATGGGGCCACGCTTTTGACCGTTTCTTCCTCTTCACCATTACTCCTTCTTGTTGCTGTTCTAGCAGTGACAGACATCAATGATTTGTAATGCACAACCATCAGAAAAAGATGCTGGCATTGTTTAAAGGAATTGATAAGCTTGGTGGCATACAATTCTGGACAATTTTGAACCAGTTCTCAACTGAAACTTGTGTCAGATGTTGAAAACCCCTGACAAAGAGGAACTCACGTTTTAAAGCAGGGATCCCCAGACAGAAGAGTCATCCCAATTGTTACCTGTTAAAAACCAAAAAACAGAGATGTTTTACTAAACCTCAGTGCTGATCAGTTCGGAGTGTGTGTGTGTGTGTGTGTGTGTGTGTGTGTGTGTGTGTCCGTCCATGTGCATGTGTGTAGGTGTAGGTGTAGGTGTAGGTGTGTATTCGCCCTGCCTTGAGGATGGAGTTGTCCTGTCGAGTGTTTTTGGTGTCATAACCCTCCAGGATGCAGCAGCGAACTGTGGAGCCTGAACCAGCAAACTCTGCGATATTGAGATCAGCAAAACCTAGCTGGAGACAGGCAGACAGGCAGACAGGCAGACAGGCAGACATACGAAAACAACAGAGTGTGAAAACATTTAAGGTGGAAAGTGGAAAGTTTCAGGTCAAGTCTGGTCCACTTCTTTGTATTTTCCCCCTTCCCTAAATCAGCAGGAATGCGAGATTTTTTTTCGTCATTTGCATGAGAGCTTATTTGTTCTGCCAACATACTGTATATCGCATCTGTAACTAACGCTCAATTAGTGCTGTCATGTGAGGAAGTGAATGAAGGGAAACAGGAGAGAGAGACTTTTTATAGAAGTCAATAACCTCCTTTAACCTCTTCATTCATGGTTTTCTACCCAGTCAGCACAGCTTCTCACTTGAGGGGTCACACTGTGTGGTGATGGTGTTGTGTGTGAGCATGTGGATTGTCATTGTTGATCCTATTAGCATATTCTGTGCAAAGTTGTCCTATCTGTGTTGTCATACTTGTCATGCAACAAGTAATACAACACGTCACAGACTTTTCTGTGACATTTCTTTACTTTATTGATTATGACCCACTTCACTCAATAGAGATTGAGGACTTCCTCCCAGTTTTTGTTGGTAAAACATGGTGGAAACAATTAGGTAATTAAAAAACCCTGCACAAGAATCAACCCACAGTCTTTTTTTTTTTTAAAGCTGTTCTTTTTTTCCGATTTTCATTTCAGAATAGGAAATTGATTGAGACGAAGATACCCGGTTTAATTATGTTATTTGTATTGTGATATTGTGGCATGTTATTAGTTATAAGTATGTTTTCATTATAGTGTATAATCGACTGAATATATCGTTGTGCTTTTGTCAGAATGAGCCGTTTTTATCTACAGAACGGGCTGTGAAGTGTGGTTCATTCTAAGGTAACAACACAACGATTCTTATCTTCAGGTGATTATACACTAATGAAAACATACTTTTGAATATTATATTCATTTCTGACAATAGATCCTCCTCAATGTTACACACTGGACCTTTAACTACACCTTTAAAATAGAATTTAATCAATCATAACTTATTGTCTGATTGACTGATTGTCCTTGTTGATGTTTTAACAGAAGACTGTAAAGAGAAACAGTACCAGGGCCCTCCTGTGACACACACATTGCACACACATTACTCAGCAGCACAGATGAACCCTAATGATCAACCTGGAAAGATAAAATGAACCCTATAATCAGGGCGTGACAGGACAATATTCCAAACCTTACGTGCCCTTATGTAGCTCACACAGCTGGTACTTTAGTGCTTCAAGTTCAGCTGTTACCACACACACACACACACACACACACACACACACACACACACACACACACACACACACACACACACAATCTGATCTGTTACTGCCCACTTGACACAGTCATTACCCTCTGACTGGGCCCTGTCACATGTCCTTGTAACAAAGCCCTGTGATGTTGATGTTATTTAACGTAGTTTTTACCACCACCAATACTGTAAAAGTCTGCTTTATGAAGGAAGCAGGGTTCTCTCAACTTTATGGATTCAAAGGTCAAACAGCTCAGCTGGGTTTAGCTGGGTCAACCATGGGTTGATATCTTGTGTATTTGAATGGTTGCTAAAAAATAAAATTACCTTTGAGAAGGTCTTTCCTCCTTTTAGCTCCTGCAAAGACAGAGAGCAAAACAGTGAAAGACCAAACACTGCCGACTGTCTGTTTCAAACTGCTGCCAACATCATCTCTACAGTGCATTTGTATCCTTAAACATATGACATCACATCATATGGAACTGATATGGAACCTGGAGTTCAACCCTAGGACAGGTGTCTGTGGGATAAACATTACTTTCAACATGCAGAATGATAATTCCCACATTCCCTGGGTAGTGTGGGTGGAAAATGGCATTGCCTTTAAGTTTATAACCCAAATCATAACCCAGAGAGGTGGCTGCTGGGAATTGTAGTTTACCTTGCGTACAGAGACCCTGCAGACGCATGGGTCCAACACTCCGGTGATGGCATTAGCGCTCATTTTACACACGAAAGAGAACTTCTTCCTCCATCGAACACAGTTCTGCTGCACCTCCTCCCTGCACACACACACAAACACACACAGATCAGGTTAGACTGTCTGGGAGACAAATATTTAAAAAAAGGACACTTTAGAGCAAAACTACATGTACATAGGTGTAAACAGATGGCTCGACAACACCACCCGGTAATTCACAGACCTTGTTGTGAGTGGTTTCATGTAGGAACTATTTTCTTTCTTTCTTTTCTCACAACAAGGTCTGTGGATTGTTTTGTGTAACCAGGTCATGATTTCTGGAAAGAGACATTGCTGTTGAGTTTTAAAATATGTATTTTTGACTTTGGGGTGACCTGTCCTTTCACCAAGGCAAACTTGACATCTCCTGCTGCTGTTTCACAATAAAAGTTTTCAGCCAACCATTAGCAGGCTTTTATTGTGAAGCAGTTGTAGCAATGTATTCTTCAATAAAAAACTGGTCTACATACAATGATATAGACAAGCAGTGAGGAATGGATACTGAAGGAGCAGTGAGCTGTGCTTTGATCAGTTTAAACAGGGCCCAAATCATGACCACAGCAGTTTTAACAGCTCACTGCTCAGTGCAACACCAGTACCTCCTCACTATGGAGAGATGCTAAAAGGGAATCATATGTATTGTCATATCTAAAAGCTTCGCACATAAAAAATGAAATATCTTTGAATATGTTATTAAACATAGGAAATGACAGAAGCCATAGAAGATGGAACTGCAGTTGATGGCCCAGATGATCTCATCTGGGTCAGTTGGGGGTTTTCCACTTACTCACTGATTAAAAACAGATGTTTATCTGCATGTAGTTTGGTGTAGGACATCTTTTGCTCTCCCTATCTCACTCACACTCTGATTGAGCACCTTGCCATAAGGCAAAAGTGATAACTAAGTGGCTCGGGGAACAAAAATCCCAATCGAAATTTTGGGTCCATGGCCAGGAAACTCCCCAGACCATAATCCCATTGAGAACTTGTGGTCAATCCTCAAGAGGCGGGTGGACAAACAAAAACCCACAAATTCTGACAAACTCTAAGCATTGACTACGCAAGAACAGGCTGCCATCAGTCAGGATGTGACCCAGAAGTTAACTGAGAGCAGGCAAGGGCGAATTGCAGAGGTCTTGAAAAAGAAGGTTCAACACCGCAAATATTGACTCTTTGAATAAACTTAATGTAATTGTCAATAAAAGCCTTTGACACTTATGAAATGGTTGTAACTATATTTCAGTATACCATGATAACATCTGATAAAAAGATATAAAAACACTGATGCAGCAAACTTTGTGGAAACCAATACTTCTCAAAATGTTTGACCAGGACTGTACAGTATCTGGTAAAGTGATGGCTTTTTGTCATTCAGACATGACGGAACTTTACATAAATGTCTGTTGGGGTTTCATTCAGACATGATGGGACATTTACAGAGACGTAACCGTCTTGCAATATTTGTCACATATTTGGCACACCGGGGGTGGTGTCACTGCTAGAACAGAGCGTTGAGTTAAAAAGTAACAATATCAAGTTCTCTCAATTCATTGACTGACACGTTAACTTTTGCATTTACATATGAGGTGCTGTCTGAAATGTCTGAAATAGGAAGGAAACATAGATGCTTAGGATGCACGACTGGGAAATTCTGGGCCAATAGCGTTGTTTGAAATAATAATTTGGCCAATACCAATGTTTTTTTGTCATTATTTAGGATGAAAACAAAGAAATCTACATTCCAAGCTCCAATATCCAAGTTGGAAATAACCAGTGATGCCGGTAACGCGTTAGCCTATGCGACAAGTCACGTTTTCAGCTTGAGGACAGTTCACGTGTAGGCTACGCAGACACAAACATAAACAACAATGGAGGGAGGAGAGAGATGCGCGTTTGCTAGCTGGAAATACAGTCACTATTTTGAGTTTGTGTCAGCTCAAGATGGCAATATTAAGGTTTGTTGTACACTCTGTGCTGGTGCCGACAAAGTGCTATCTAGCTACAAAAACTTGACTGTGCAGAACTGCACAGTCAAACCAATAAAGTGAGGGTTGGCAAAACTGGTTGTCATTTTTATGTTGAGGCGTGTTGTCGGCAGCTGCTGAATGTAACTTATAAAGTAACTTGTAATCTAACGTAGTTACTTTTAAAATCAAGTAATGTGTAAAGTAACTAAGTTACTTTTTAAAGTAGTAATCAGATTACCTTTTCAAAGTAACTGTGGCACCACTGGAAATAAACAACACAACTTTTAACCAACGAAAAATGTATGCAACACAACATCTTATTTGCCAATATAACGATGTCACTCAACATGGCCAATATTGGCCAATACCAATGTTCGGCCAATAGATCGGTGCATCCCTAATCCTGTCCCAATTTATGAACTAGCAAATTTCCCCATGCTAAGGCCTTCATCAGAGCATCACGTTAGCATGTTCATCTGACACGGCCAAAATAAACTGGTGAAACTGAGATTAGTCAACTTTTCATGGAAATCTATGTGTGCTACCTTTTATGCCTTTGGGCGTACTCTAAGATCCAACTATTGTGTCCTATAACTCTTGGCAATTAGCTAAACTTAGAACATTACATTGTATCTTGAAGTAAAATGTTAAGTGAAAGGGAAGTTTTTATGCAAGCAATATATTACTATTATATTTATATATTATACATTACTATCAATAGAACTATATTCTGTATCGATCAAGGCAGGTCACTTGCAATAGGAGTAAAACAGCCTTATAGTGAACAGTGATTATATGTGTAATTAGCACATGATCTCAGATGTGTTAATCTATGGCTGTGTTTCCATCCAAATGTATTTTAACCAAATTTCAAGTAAATTGGCAATTATTTGGAGTTGGTTCATCAATATAAGCAGTAGATGGCACCAATTCTCCAGTCAGAGACCAGTGAAGAGGGCACAACAAGAGGGAGCCAGTAGAAGCTCAAACGGTGAAAAACAATGCAGAAAGCAGGATGGAAATATGACATTTCGGTTTTAATGTGAGGAAGGTTCCATCAGTCCTCTTCAATGTGGAAATGTTACATATTATATCTTTAAATGTTTGCCGCATCACAACATATTCAAAAAGTGTTTCCATCTCCCATTAAGACCATTACCTCTTTAATGAAAAAGGCAAAAACTACTTCCAGCGAACATAAAAACGTATTTACGTAGAGAAAGTGAGAAGTGTCTTTCTTTCCATAATCAGCACAACGACTGAGATTTGCTTGTACAAGGCACTGTACATCAAAGTGCACCATTGATGTGAAGCAGGGTGGAGCCAGGAAACAGTAAAGGCCAAAAAAATAGAGTGTGTGCTTCTCATCTCTTCATTTGTGGAATTTGGGAGGCCACAGAGTGAAATGAGGCCTCATGGGATTGACCCTGCGTGTCCCTCCCTCAGTCTATAAACAAGCCTTTCTCACTAAGCTAATGAATAAAGGCAAAGGTAGGTTACTCTCACAGCACACACAGGCCGCCGGCATGCTGGGCTTGTCCCGACTTGGCTGCGTTGTTATCTGTCCCTGCCCCCTCATGTCAGAGAAAACATTATACGAGAATCATCCATCTCTCTACAACATCATCAGTGCTTCAGTTACACAACACACACGTGCAGGCACAGCAGAGATAGTCCCACATGCTTGTTCTTTGGAATGCAATGTCAAAATATAGGAAATGCAAACAACATGGAAATCGCCCACCAGCATAGTTAACCTAAACAATAGCTCTTATTATAATGGGCATCATTTATTTCCTTATGCACATGCACAGCCGCATACACAATAGACAATACTGTGTCTGAAAACACAACTCTAAATACCCTAATTCAAACTCTTCTCATTATCTCAGCTTTTAAAGAACCTGTGTGCTTATAGGTCTGTACAACTAGCAACACATTTAGGTTCTGCACTGTCCCTGTCCTACTTATAATTTTCACCATTAAAGTTGCATTAACACCAAAATAGTGGTCGACCGATATGAGTTTTTCAATGGCCGATGCCATTATGTAGAGAGCAAGGCTGCTGATGGCTTAAAAGCTCAATTATGGTTACTGGGTTTTATTTTCCTATCCTGTTTTCCTGGCCACTTTCTGTGTTTGGCAGAGTTCAGAGCCCAACACATAATCACATGTAGTTACATGTGTGAAACAGAAAATAATAGACTTGAAGGGTGTTAATGTGAGTGAAACGTAAACTGTTACTCAGCTGAGGTGCTCTTGTATGTAAAGACTCACATGTCAGTCATCATAAGGCAGATTTGCTGCATGCTGGGGCATGTTATTACTGATTTAAGGGCCTTTTATGCTCTTCCTGTATTTTACAATTTCCTTTCATATCTCCGTGTTTCCATTAACTCTGAGAGGCATTCATCATTGCTGTAATAGTGAAAAAGACAATCATAACAGTTAACTTTTACTTTTCTTTTTTTCATATTGATTTATTATGCAATCAGCCATAAGAGCTTATTAAGTCTGTACCTTCAGGCATTCTTTTCCAACTTTATCACAGGAACCTTTCCCACTCCACTTATCTGAAGGGTGACCTGATGTTTACAGCTCTTAAAACAACCAGCCTGGAGGTCACTGGCTGCCTGGGAGAGGCAGAAAATGGCCAGACAGGTTCTGCCACTTCTTTTCTTACAACCTGCCTGCCTTTCACAAACATACCATTGTACAGCAGTGGATACAAGCTTTCTCTCACACTCAAGCTATGTTGGTCACAGCCTCTAAGGGACTGTTCCTGAGACTCACAGTCTCACTTACTGACCAATACATGCTTTTTAATTTCAGTAGAAAAAACATTTTAAATATAGAGAGGCCAAGCTGAAAAGAACTCAACACATACAACACTTACATATAAATAAGACTTCTACAGAATTATGAATTATTGTTTTTTAACAACAGGTGCCACACTGGTTAAAAATGTGACCCAGTGTGGTGTCAATGTAACACTGATGCAATACTAGTTTCATTTGACCCATTTTGCAGGGGCATTTCCAGACTTTTTTGATGGGGTGGCAAAAGAGTGGCACTA